AATCCAGATGAAATAATCTTCACTTTGATGTTGGATTGGAAAAACATATTTACTTCATAAGATCCCTCTACAACATCCTTAACCATGTAAAAATTATTGACTTCTTCTTCATTCTCTGCAAATTCTTCAATTTCTTTAACCTTTGTTTCAACTTCTTCATGAACTTTTTTTTCTTCAATTACTTGATATGCTTCTTTGATTTTATTATTATTTTTTTTATCTTCTCTAGCCTTTTGAACTTCAACTTCAACTTCAACTTTGGTCTCCTCAACTTCTTTAACTTTTCTTTGTTCCGGTCAATAAAGCTAATAACTTCCGAGCGCTTTCTTCTAGGATGCATATAAGGGTACCACACCCTTCTTTAATTTATAAACTCATCTTCTTCAAAGCATTGGTATTGAGTTCACTTCATGTTTGGATACTACATTTTCAATCACCTTCCAAGCATGATGGGGAGAACTTGAATCTCCAACATGTTTCCAAATCTTGGAATATATGGTCTTGTTAAGAACTCTGAGTGTATTTCCCTCTTCCTTCCCTCGGATTCTAAACAAGTCACTTCTTGTTTTTTCTTCAATAATATCCCACAAATCACATGCTTTGAAATAGAAAATCAGAGCAATCTTCATTCTCTGAAAATTAGAGAACATCACCTAGTTATACCAAAAATACGTGTTTGGTGAATCTTCCATGATCATCATGAATGTGATGATCTATCAAGATTTCGAGGATTGTACTAGCTTTGAGACTGAGCAACTTAGGGTTTCAGAATCGTAAAATTAGCTCTGATACCAATTTGTTAGATTACTCCAATGTAATTTTGATTAGAAAATTGTTCTAATACCACTATATTAGAGTCAAAAAAATTATAAATAAAATGGAAGAAAATAGTGGAGAAGATTAAACGCGCAAAGAAAAATTAAGTCACTACTAATATCATTCACTCACCTACTACATTACATATTCTTATACTATTAGCTTGTTAACGTCCCTTATTAAGACCCCTTAATAATATAATAAAATTTTAAAGTAAGTTTATTTTTCAACTGGTAAATGGTTATTTTTCTGTTCCTGTTGGCGTGGCTATTCCTGTCGGGATGGGGATTGTTGGGGAGAGAAAGATTGATGGTGGTTGTTGTTTATGCTGTTATTGTGGGGGGGTGTTGGAAGGGTCTTTTCAAGCAAGAGAAAGAGACAACTGTGGATGAAGTAATATGTGAGAGATGAGTGGAAGGCCGAGAGAGAGAGAGAGAGAGAGAGAGAGGTGCGAATGAAAATGTGGGAGAGTTATGATAGTTTTCTTCTTTTTGCAGGGAAGGGTGGTCTGAGTAGACAATATATAGCATCTATTGGAATTAGATATGGCAGATTCTGAGAGGCTTTTCTCATTTTTTCCTCTTTCAACTGCCATAGACATCTTGACATAGATGGAAGTCTTCAGGGACCCTACCACTCATTGCGCCTGGACTTTTGCACTCTCTCTCTCTACTTTTGTGTGTATACACACAATTGTGTGTTACATATGTATGCACTGTTGTATATACCCAATAACATAACTGTATTTGTAGTCTTTGAAATGGAAACTTTGGGCAAGTCAAAATTATGTAATCCATCATAAATAATTTTAATTAATTATAATTTAATTTTTAAAAATTTTAATTTTCGTGATCGAGCACAAAATTTTATGATCAATCATAACATTTTGAGTTTTAACTCAGACCCTCATAAATTTTTTAACTTAGACCCCTAGTCTTTCCCATAGAAGAAAACAAATAATGAGGAACACAAGAAATGACTTATTCAGGGAATTCTATATATATATATATATATATAGCTGCAGTGTACCATGTTGGTAATTAAAGTCTTGCATTTTCTTAGTTCGGCAAAGAGAGAATGTCAGATAGTTTGAGAGGAAAATATGAAGTGGACAAGTACACAATCCATTGGAATGTCTTTTTGACTAAGTATGTAGATCAGTGGTAGTCACCCATATAAGGAGATGGAGAATAAAATAATGATGCAAAATAAATAATAGTAAAAATTTTAGTATTTTATTTAAAATAGTTAATGCCATTTAATTAAATAAATTTAGGAGTTTTTATTGTATTTTCTAATTTAATTAATAAATTATTTTATTTTATTTATCGGTTTAATTATGATTTTATTTTAATTATGAGCTTTTGATAAATTAATATAATTGAGATAGTTTTCTCTTTTATTTCTAATTTTTCTAGTATTCTTGGGAATCAACAGAATTATTGAATGGTTTTAGGGTTGATATTTTCTTGTGAATCAATAGGCCTAGAGTAAAGATTTAAACCGATATTTATGTGCAAATCAATAGTATATTTTCATTATCTTCTTTCGTTTATTTTACTTTTACTTATACCTGTTTTCCTACATCATGCTTCAAGATAGAGAATCATGAATTGAAATCTGTCGCAAGAATATGTTGTAAGTACGAGTCTAAAAATACCTGATTAAGACGATTCTCGGTATAAAAAGTATATTCGGTTCCATTAGGTTCTAGTGCAAATTAATGCAATATTTTATGATAATAAAGTTTACTAGAGATTAAACAAACTAAGGAGAAGGGTATACCAAACCATCAATTAATTAAGGTGCTATGGGAGATGGACTAAAAACTCTTTTAAGAGATGCTTATAAATCTTCTTACTTATTATTCATTGAAGATTGTGCGCGGTGATTTTTGCATAATAAATAAATAGACAAATTTCTCCTTTGGTGAACTCGAGATTTATCTGAAAAGTCGATGGTCTCGTGGCAAACAGAAGTGAGAGATGGTATAAAGAGTAGTGATGAATTATTTTTTCAGCAGTCCAAACAATCTCGACGTATCGAGATAAACTCTGTCACTCAAAAAAAGAGGTTAAAAGGGTGTCAGAGTATTTTTCGGCGTGACCCCTCTGACGATCAAGTTAGTATGTGAGGGAGGGAAAGGAAACACTGTTATATTGCTTGGGTGAGAGTGTGCGTACCTTTGTTCTTAATTTTTAAGAGCTATTTATATTTTCATGGAAGTAATCATTGCGGACAGGTGAGTCCATTAGAAAGGAAGTCCCTCATTGACCCATTTGAAAGGCAACAGGTGGTGCTCAATCTTTGAGTAGACGTGGAAGAAGTTTATGCATTGAATGTTCGGACTCCCGAACACTTAATGCTCTTTATTAGAAGCTCTCCGAGCAATAAATATGTCTTATCTGTGAGAATCCTTCATTGTGCCTGCGAATATGTTAGGGCATTTGTGTCATTTGCCCTTTCAGGAGATCATGTCATATGAACTTCGTATTTCATGGACTCTTTCTATTAGTCACCAAATTCACTACCTTGTCATTATAACTACCTTGGGAAGAGGTTTTGATGATTAAAAGCCACCCATACATGTAATGTGGTGACGTCATTCTTGATTTCTCTAAAAACTCAACTATTTGTCATAGTCCAAGTCCCAAGCAGGTCGCCAATACCTCGGCGGAGCAAAGGACCCGAAATCGAGGACACGTGTCGGGTGAAGGTCTCTTTGGGAGCCGAGGACAGGTGTCACGTGATAAAGACTCTGGGGGTACACTGGTGCTAGGGATACATGTCATTCACAGTGCTCTGAGAGTGCCTTTAGTGTCGAAGACATGCGTCACTCGTAGGTGACACCGAAAAACCTAAACATCGAGGACACGTGTTAATTCATGGGCTCCCACATTCTCTTGCTAAGGACACGTGTCATTCTTAATATGAGCTAAAGTTACTCATGTCAAGAACACGTGTCAATTCCCTGTTGACTCTGAGAAGTGTCCCATCAAAAATTATCATTCTTCACACCATTTTGATTGTTAAGAGGTAAAGGAAAGCATCAACAACCACATAAAATTACAACAAAAAAGTATGGACAATGTTTTATTTTGGAGCATCAAACTTGGCACTCTTGAATGGGATGCTGTAAATAGCTACAAATGTAAACGAAATAGCAAAATGCTTCAAAGAAATGAAGGTAAATGAAGTTATAATACTACAGTTCAATAAAAAAAAAACGCAGAAAACTATAATACCCTACAAAAATCCAATTGAAATCACGAAGATTTTTTAAAAAAGAAGTGAATTTGCGTATTACTACATGCTCATATAATCTATGAATAAATAATTCTTCACATACATTTATCATATGCTAATATAATTATTACCTGTTTGAAGTTATTGACCATAAGAATTATATTATAAAAAAAATTATCAATCATAAATCTTAGTTTGAATTGAACTATTCATGCATTGACTGTTAAAATAAAAAAATAAAAAAAATATGAAACAATAGAATTTAATACACATCATCTTGTGATTGAATGAAAAAATATAAGTAAGACATCGAAAAAGTTACTAACATGCCGAAGTCCAACTTTGTTTTGGTACAATTTTGAAAAATAGTTTATATCCATAAATCTTCGATTGATTGATTTATTGTCATTAAATATTAATATAATATTGTTAGATTCGATATAAAAAAACTGTTGCCTACCATTAGTATGACCTAATTCACTATTGATTTATTGTCGATATAATTTGTTAACCTAATTCACTGTATCCTTTAGATTAACTATGTGTTTCATCAAACATTGAAACTTAATGTTTATTCAATGGTTTCAATGAAGTCACGTCATTAAATCAATAAATTATGTCAAATTTTTAGGTTTAAATAACATTTTTCTTAGTCTTATTATAACCCAACCCCCCCCCCCTTTATTTTGTACTAGTTTTGGTTCGGCATCATAGATATTCTTTACCCTGTTCAATTTAAGNCTCTCTCTCTCTCTCTCCCACAAAACCCAAAAAAAAACCCAACCACAACCGGGGCCTCCTCCTCCAATATTTCGCTAGAAAACACTAAACTAAGGCCCCAGAGAGACGGTACATGTCGGGGGAGTGAGTGTTACAGGGTATATTTCTTTTGAGTACTGTAGAAAACCTTAAGGAGATGAGAAGGAATATTTTCCACATTCCATCCAGCAATTTCCAGTTGACCACAGAACAAACATAGTAGAATACCCCACACGTTGTACGCTTTACACGAACATCTACTAAGAACAGCCGAAGAAGAAGAAGATCAAGAAGAAGAAACATCTAACGATGGAAGGACCAGAACAAGGAGTGCCCAATTACGAATTACAAGTCTCATTTTCAACTCCACATGCGATCCACGAAATGGGTTTTGTTCAGTTTCAAGATCATAACCAGGTGATGAGCTTCTTGGCCCCCTCACAATCTACTCAGATTCCACAGCCTCTTGACGGCGGTGATAACACCACCACCACCGCCGCCGGTAACAACAACAACAACAATAGCTCTATTGGATTTGACCATAATGAGCTCGTCAACAGACCCTCTTGGAATAATGACCAGGTAGTTAGAACTTAGATTGTTCACAAGAATCTTGGAAAATTGACGATATAACATGTTGATGTTGTGCTTTATATAATTTCTCTGCATGGGTTATTGCTTTTTTTTTTTTTTTTTCTTTAGTTATTTGTTTGGGCATTTTGTCTATAGATTCGTTGTTGATCTTCTTTTATTGATATGTTNATGGTTTTTTTTTTTTTTTTTTTTTTTTTCTTTAGTTATTTGTTTGGGCATTTTGTCTATAGATTCGTTGTTGATCTTCTTTTATTGATATGTTTTATGAACAAAATTTAGGTGGGGACATTGGATCCCAAGGCTGCAAATAACGAGAATTGCACCGGTAATGCAAACGACGGTAGCAATTCATGGTAAACTTAACCTAACCTTTTTCTTCTCTCTCTTCCCTTTTTGCTTTTTTATATTTCTTGGGTCTTTAAGTATCTGCATCATAGAGGTATGATACCATGGGGAAACTTTTTTATGCTCGCAATCTGAATCTAAGAAGACCTAGCCATATGTGGAAGAGATTCACAATAAAGGAGCTTATCTTTTGGTAGGATTTCCAAAGGAGTTGGCTATAGCATGCTTTTTGTAAATCTCTCTCTCTCTCTCTCTCTCTCTCTGTTGTCTGCGAGTGGATGGCACAGAAGCTTTTTTGGGTTTCCATTCAGAATCCGCGGAGATCTTGCCATTTGGGGATGAGGTTCCTGCAGGAATTTTCTTACAACATGCTTCCTTTTAGCCATCTCTCTCTCTCTCTCTCTCTCTCTTTGTTGTCTGCGAGTGGATGGCACAGAAGCTTTTTTGGGTTTCCATTCAGAATCCGCGGAGATCTTGCCATTTGGGGATGAGGTTCCTGCAGGAATTTTCTTACAACATGCTTCCTTTTAGCCATCTCTCTCTCTCTCTCTCTCTCTCTCTCTCTCTCTCTCTCTCTCTCTCTCTCTTTGTGGGGTGTCTGTGTGTCTAGTGGTTGATGGTGCAACACCCACTATATCCTGATACTCATTGACACCCAAACCCACATGTCTATCAACAAACTTAACTGCATATTTCAGGTTACTGGTTCTTTGTTTGCATTCTTTCAATCCAAAAAGCAATCAAAGCCAGAGTATTTTGGGGGATTCTAATAAGTTTGGCAGGTGGAGGAGCTCAACATCAGAGAAGAGCAAAGTAAAAATGAGAAGAAAGCTTAGAGAACCAAGGTTCTGTTTCCAGACAAGGAGTGATGTGGATGTGCTTGATGATGGTTACAAATGGAGGAAATATGGCCAGAAAGTTGTCAAGAACAGCCTTCATCCAAGGTATTCTTTACCCAATTACATATGCTTTACATGAAGAATTTCAAGTTTTCTTTTTTCTAATATGTGAACAGGGTTTTATCAACAACAACAAAAATTGTATATTAAACATAGTTCAGAATATTCCAAACGTTTTCAAAGTTATATGTTGAAGATATTAACTCCGAATTCAAAACAAGGACAAGATAACCACCTGTGGAGAGGCTACGATATATACTTGCTTTTAACCTTGACTCTTAGACCTGCAGGTTCAAGCATGATTTTCTTGATAAACATAGATTGATCTAAAACTATGCATGAATCTCCATTTGTTCATGATTCAAAGTTTTGCATATTGCCCTTTTTGAGGTACATTTGATGGCCTGAAAAATTGGCCTATTTTGTGTTTAATAGCCATCTAATTATCCGATCGATCTTAAACTTGGGTAAACGAGAAGGATTGTGTTAGATAGTTGATAATTAAACTTGGGTATACCTCTTGATACAAGTCGAGTGTTTCATCTGAAAGAAAATTGTTTAGAAGTACATAGAAGGTATGATTCATAATAATTACTCCCAGTATATGAAAAGAAGTGGAGGAGAATATTTATAGTACATCACTGTTTCAGCATTTTTTATCTTTATTTTATTTCATTCTCNGTATGATTCATAATAATTACTCCCAGTATATGAAAAGAAGTGGAGGAGAATATTTATGGTACATCACTGTTTCAGCATTTTTTATCTTTATTTTATTTCATTCTCTATTATATTTCTAGCTGTATTTCTGGGCTTCTTTCATAACTAATATTGCTGTAGTCATAACTTCTTTTATAGCCTTACAATAATAACTATATTTTGCTATTAACTTTTTCCCTTTTTTTCTCGGATGTTCAACGAATTCTATTATTTATCACAGAAATAATATATATATTGTTACCATTGTAATGCTATACAAAATTGTGATCTAGATTAGCACATTAAGTGGCATAGTATGTACAACAGTCAGCAAACAAATTCTAGATAAATTAGTGTTCTCATGATTTCAACTAGGAAATGAGCCAGTTCCTTGAGGATAAAGTTAAACCTACCAAAAAAAAAAAGTTAAACCTACCAAAATTTTCTTTTTGGCCATAACCTACCAAATGAATTGTGGGTTGATTAAAGGATATTTAGGTGTCAACATTGAACCACTTTTATCATCTATAGTTGACCAAATATGAATTCCCATAATGAGATAACTATCCATGTTCTTCAAATAGACAATATGGGTGCAAATCATTGTAACAAATTTTGGATTCCAACTTATAATATGGTATTGGAATGATTAGCAATTCGACAAATATGGTTATAATATTTTGATTACTTTTCGTAAAAACTGTTTCAAGCTAACATAACTATTGGATGTCAGGATTATGAAAGACATGAGATTTATTTGAATGTAATTTGAGTGTCGAGGTAACATATTGGGTAGATCAAGAGTAATTCATGTGATGAAATATCACAATAAAGTTGAGAAATTTTTGAAATGTTGGAGGAGGAGGAGGGTGGATAATAATGAAGCATGCCCTTGTTCCTACTGCGGGGACCAAGGGAGGAGACGATCTTGTTTCAGTAGAAATGTGCTAAAGAAAGCTTCATTTTTCAGATAAAATGCATTGTAGAGTCTTAGACTATCTACCTCTCAAACACTTTCTTTTGGAAATCTAAAATATTCAAGAGTTGAAGTCTTCAAGGAACATTGATTTCCATTTTGGATACCTAGATGAGGCATTCTCTCTCTCTCTCTCTCGACTAGATTTGGATTAAGTCATGCGTTTTCTATTGCCTCAATTAGATGATAAATGAGAATCATATAAGAGAAACACAAGTATGATACTGCAATGACCCATGCATATGATACACTTACCTTGTTTGCAATCAACTGGTCCTGGTTAGCGAAATCCTAAAAGACAGATATAGTACTGGTAGATGATAATCATCCTTTGATTTAAAATATTAAAAAATATGTCCAAGCTTTCCATATGTACATACAATATAGTTCAAGATTACTCTGAGCATATTGACGAGAGAGTTGCTTACGACATACACTTTTAAGATAGTTTTTCAGCTTTGCTAGGCAATTAAACTGTCCTACTAGATGGTCTCTCTAGTGAGATAGCATGTCTGTTTGTTTTCTTTTGTCATTTTTATTACAAGAATTTATCTTTCTAACTGCTAAGATACATGTTGCTTTTTGTTTTTGTTTTTTTTTTTTGTTTTTGTTTTTACAGAAGTTACTACCGTTGTACGCATAACAATTGCCGGGTCAAGAAAAGGGTTGAAAGACTGTCGGAGGATTGTAGAATGGTGATAACAACCTATGAAGGTAGACACAATCACTCTCCTTGTGATGACTCAAACTCATCCGAACAAGAGTGCTTTACCTCATTCTAATTAGCTCAAATGAGAGATAAAGAACAATATTGTGAAAATTATAATTAATATATGATTAAGTTTGTTTTAGTATTTATTCTAGAATTTCAGTGTTCCACAGTTTAATGTGTGCTGATGAAACTTCAATTTGCTCGAAAACAATAGTTAGTCACAGAACAGATTGAAAATTGAGTATGAAGAACATTAGTTTTGAAGGTTATATTCATATACAGAAGATTTTCCATACCCAACTTCAATGACAACCATATTGCTTTTGGACATGAGCCTTCAAAAGTTGCTCAAATGTAATCACCTGAACATCTAATTAATGACCCCCATTTGAACAAAACCATTACAGCCGATTTTATTTTAGGGTTTTTTCCCAACTCGGCATGCACTCAACTAAAACGTATCAATTTTTCTTATATGAATCTTATGTCTCCAGCTACTGGGGATCTTATATCCGTACCATTTAACTCTTTCAGGTTTTTGGGTGGGGGTATTTCTTGAGTAGCNTATTTTAGGGTTTTTTCCCAACTCGGCATGCACTCAACTAAAACGTATCAATTTTTCTTATATGAATCTTATGTCTCCAGCTACTGGGGATCTTATATCCGCACGATTTAACTCTTTCAGGTTTTTGGGTGGGGGTATTTCTTGAGTAGCTTTAATTTTAGTTTGGTCAAATGTTTGGCGATGAATCCCAAGAATTTACCGCTGGTTACTTTAAAGTCGCATCTTAATGGATTCATTTTGTGCATTGCTTCAATTCTCTATCAGCCTTTTTTTGTTTGTTTTCCTCCTTTTCTATGGATGTCTAAAGATAAATCCACTGAACGAACATATCCTCATTTGCAGAAATCGTTCAATTATCATCAAAATGTTAACCAAATCAAAATCAAGTAATATCTCATCCATAGTATAATGCTCTTGCCCTTGCCCAAGGTGAATTGAATAAGAAAAATAAACAGAAATCATGGAGGTGCAGGAAAATAAATGTAAAAAAGTTTGCTCTCCAGGAGGAAATGTGACCGCCTCTTCTGTAGTTAGCGAGTGATTACATATATTTAAATTTTATTTTTCAGTTGTGAGGTTAAAAAAACAAAATACAAATGATATGATTTTCTTTTACAAAAGAAAAACTAACAAATTAAGGAAGCTTATTTCCCGAGCATTGTACTCCAAGTAGATAACCATATGTTCTGAAAAATATATATTTCATTGTGCCATGAATCAATCAATTCTCATGGTGACAGGGATGTTGCTTAGAGCAGTTTATGCAACTGTGCTCACACACTAGCCCCTACCCTTTTGCAGTACTGATCAATGTTCTGCAAGATTACTGTGTTTGACAGATTATTTATTTGTGAAGGTCGAAGGATTAAAATGATATTTATGATGTTATTGGACATGATTGTGTTAACCTTTTTTCACGCCTCATTTTCCAAAATATGATTTTGAGCCGCACAAGGCTTGAAGTACGAATTTGAGCATCGGATCCATGAATTGTTGTAAATTTCAGATTAGGATTGTCTAATTTCGAAGAAGTATTGTCAAAAAAGGGTTTGAATGCCACCAAAACCCAAAAAAAATCCATCACCGAAGCAAACCCAACACTAAAATATTTGTATTATATGATCAATGCTCAATTTTTTTATTTTTTTTTTGGTGATACATAGTGCTTTCATGAAATTATGTAGAGATCAATGAAGAAGTCACTCCAAGTAACATGAAATTTTCGTCTCTTATTCTCTAATATACCTTGGGAATTTTATGTTCTTCTTCTACTTCTTCTTTTTTATGAGCATGTTACAAGTAACATGTTCTCTTTTTTTTGAACATTAAGAATGAAAGAGTAATTACCTAATCTCTTGCTCGGGATGTGAATGTTATTTTGCACCTAGTCTCTCAGATTGTGAGCGTAACATTCATGTTTTTGTCAGCTAAATAGATTAGGATTAGAATTTTGGTTATTTAATATTTGTTGCAAAGCAATTGGTTGTGAGCATGACTCTGGCAATTCTTGGATATACATGCCTAAGTTTGGAAGATCTCAACTTCAATAGGAAACTAACAAAGTTTTCAATCATTGTGGAGTCCCTTTTTTCAACACTATGACAGTATGACTCATCCATATATGATGATTATAATGCTGAATCATATCCCATGGTCAAGATCAATCAATACTCGGGGATATAGCAAGTAAGCAGAAAGGTTTAAGACTGATTACAACAAGCTCGTGCTCTCATAGCAACATACGGGAAGCTCTTACTCTATTTGCTTACAGTGCTATGCCTATCAAAATTGGTAAACACTTTTGTTACCTTAGACTCGTTATTGAACTCGTGGACTCGGAGTGTAATTTATAACCTACAAAGTTCAAATATAAGCATCCACTTAGATATAACAACTTAATTGAAACAATCTAGAAAAAAATTCAATGCATCACCCAAAAAAAAAAAAAAACTTTGAATTTCAAATGATCTCAACGTTTAATCCATCACAAATTTTTTTTTAACAGATCTATAGTTTTTTGTAACTACTAATCAAAATTAACTAATAGGTGGTTTTGTGATTTAGCGGTTATCTATATAATAAAGTAGAACGGAGTTTGAATCAAAAAGACAAAAAGAAGTTCAGATCATTTTGAGACAAAATATAAAAACATCCGACGAACAACATAATCCCAACATAAAAGACGGTTCACATCATCTAAAAATTTTTGATGTAACAGTGTACAGTTAGTTCTGAATTTCTTTTCTCGCCCATAAAGAAGCTTCTTATCACAAGATTCTACACTCTTATCTCTCATATGTCTCTATCTTAAATTTGAAAAAGCACAATAATAACTCAAATTGAATTCATTTTAAATTAATTGATCTAAATTTCATCTAAGTTCATCAAACTTAATCTAATGGCTCACAACACATCTCACACAAAAATAAAATCCCATCAGGAGCGGAGCTAAAAAAATACTTTAGGGTGGACACATTAATAAATTTTAATTATTTTTTATCAATGTTACCAATGACTTAATTCAATATATATTTATTACCCTGTAATTTATTACATTATGATGCTCATTTCTATACAATAATAAAATAATCCTATAATTTAGAAAAATGAACTCAATATGTCTAAAAATTATTTGGACATGTCTGTGTCTAAAAATTTAAGAATAATAGTAATTGCATCTAATTCAAAATTTAATTTTATATCTTGACCAAAAAAAATTCAATATCATAATGTATTAGTTTCAATAACATTATTTAAAAATTAATTATTATTTAAATAGTCGTCTATCTTAATCGATATCACAATAATACAATAATAAGGTGAACACAATTAAATATGTCTAAATTTTATTTTAAAAAATATATATTTATTGTAAAAAAAATTGAGGGTGGACACAATTAAATATATATATTTTTTATTTAAAAAAATATGTATTTAATATCAAAAAAAAAAAAATTTGAGGGGGCCACGTGCCCACCCTGGTTCAAGGGTGGCTCCACCCCTCAATCCCATCCAATTTAATTACACCTACATGCTATCCATTTTGTCTAACACATAATCCAAACTCTTTCTCATTTCTCCATTAACCATATCACCTCTCTTAGTTTTTCAAAAATTATTGTCATCCTCTTCAGTCTCTCATCTCTCTATGCAGACTCTAACAATAGAGAAACTTTCTTCAGCGACGCACGACATAATTTGGAGACCCACTGAACTTACTCACTCTGACCATCCATTCTCTTCCATCCAAATTGTATTGACAGTGATCTAACCTCCGAAAATATTCTCGTTGGTACTCATTATTGGTTATCATTGATGATTTTTTTGGTTTGGTTTAGTGGTGTATGTTTTGACAATAGTTTATTGTTTTTAATTTTTAATGTTTGTGTGTTTAGTGGTTGATGTATTGTTATTAAATAATTGTTGTTAAATATTATATGTTAAAAGTGTATTGTTTATACCTTAATTTATGTTGATTTTGTTTAATTTTTAATTTTACGATAAAACTTTGCATAAAATTAAAAATATTTCTATTAAACACACATAAAATACATCATATCTCTAAGTTTAGTGTTTCTTTTCCAAAGTTTGACAGTTTAACATTTGACCTCAACAACCACGTACACACCGTTATTATAATACAAAAGTCAGTACCCAAATAGACAATGTCACCATTTTTGGACATGTAAATTATTTAGTATATCGATTTTTTTCAAAATCTTTGGTATAATATTTCATTAAAAACCATTATATACTTACTATATAATTTTTTGTCCTTCTTATTACAAACTGATTCATACTTAGAGTATACTATAAGTAGATCTTCTTATCATGCATCTTAGTATTGATGATTGATGTTTACTTCTTACTTTTTATCAATAAATGAAGTTTAAATTGTCTTTTTAATCCATAAATAAAATCATCAAGTTATTATTTATACCAAAAATAAATCACTACTGTATGAAAACCTATAGTTCTCAAAAAATTAAAAAAAAAATTAAAGCCCTAGTTAATTAGCAATTAAAAAAAATAAGTGACCAATAAAAAAAAAAAAGATACTAATTGCATCAACGAAAAATGTTCAAAACTAATCTAATCACTATGTGTTGAAATTGTTCAAACATTCTATCTTTGTGTGTTAAAATATTATAAGAAACATAGTGCCTTCAGACACAGACAATAACTAGTATATATACAAATTAACAAATTTATTATGGTCAGAGATTAAAATGTATGTTGTAAGATAAGTCATTAAATATAAATGATCTGATCCGCTATTATGTTCTATGCATGTAAGACACTTTATTTTATTATATCTATACTATATACTAGAGGAATCAATTTAGGGAAGGAAGATTCAGAAGTTTTTCTTTTACAAATTCTATTTTTTATTAATTTTGAATTAATTAATAGAAACATATTGTTCTACTCCAATTTTTGTATCCACTTTCAATTATTTTGATCACCATCGGAGCTGGTGGTTTAGTGACAAGGTGTGCCCGTCTTAGGATTGTCCCCGACTCCCAAGGGATTAGAAAACAGAGTTTGATTTACGAGATCTCCACGTCTTGCTGCTCAGGCTTCAATGGTGGTGTGGTGATTGTTCATTTCATTAAAAGTCACCCAATTAATGATGACGAAATAAGAAAGGAATGATCAGATTATAATATACTTTTTATTATATTAAGGGTATAATATAAAAATTTGAATATATAAAAGTATAAAATAGAATTATTTAAATTTTTTGGGTACAAAATGTAATTCGCCCTATGTATTTTTAGTTCGTTGCCCTCTATATATTTCGTAGTGTCTTCAAAGTTGCTTGAAAACAGTTCGAACTCCCAAGACACTTTCTGAAGTCCCCTCTCTCTGGCTCTCTCTCTCTCTCTCTCTCAGAATGGTTCGCGCGTCGTTGAAATGTCTGCAGCTTTATGGTAAGTTTGTCGCAAATTTCTCTCGAATTGCTATTCGATATGAATTCTGTCTGCTTCGAATTTGTGCGTGCGTGGATTCTTTTATGTGTCGATATGTTTGACGAATTTGTAATGTTCTTTGAGTTGTGGGTTATGATTTGATTTTGGGATGAATTGCATATTCTTATGTGTATCGATTTGTTTGATGAATTTGAAATTGTCTTTGTAGGTTATGATTTGCTTTTGGGATCCATTGCTGCGTTTTATGTATTCATGGTACCCTATACGAAGGTTGAAGAAAGCTTCAACGTTCAGGTACACACTTGTTTGAGTCTTTGTATTTCTTTTTCTTGGAATTTCTTGGCAACCAAACTAGGCATACTCCATTGTGTTTGATAAGTGAAAGATTTAATCTTTGTTTTTACATTGTTTTCCTCTGCTTCTCAGCAAACAAAAAGAGGATAAGAAAGTTGAAGCTGGATTTTTAAGTTATTTTATGAATTGGAATATTTATTCAAAAAGGAACTGATCTTTCTTATTAATCTGAGTCTGTATCAGGCAATGAACGATTTCTTATATCATCACCATCACATAGATAAGGTATATTCACTAGTCTTTGTCTTGATATCTCTTTTGTCCTGTTTTGGACTAAAGTGTGTCTGGCACAGCGCCTAAATTCTTTGTTTGAGATATTTTTTTTTATGTAATTCAGTATGACCATTTGGAGTTTCCGGGAGTTGTTCCTCGCACTTTCATTGGTATGTTTCATTGTTTTGGTACTGGCATTATTTCTGTTATAGTCTTCTCTAGGATCTTGGATCTACCTTTAATTATGACATTATATTATCTGAGTCCAGGAGTCCATTTTGACAAAATGAAAACTTGCTTCGGTATACTAGGAGAGTAGGAGTTAAATTGATCGGTTGATACCAACCATAAAACATTGCTTCAATGATGTTTAATCGACTTCCCATTAAGCTATGTAAATTCTTGTAGGTGCCTTGGTTGTATCAATTTTGGCATCACCGATTACATTGACAATGAATTTGCTACACTTGCCAAAGCTTTACGGTCTTTTCGCAGGTTAGTGCATTACATACTTGTACATTTCAAATGTTCGCCAATTTTTGTTATTTAAGACGTTGTGTCGTGTGGTACATTGGACTTTGAATATATTTATTCATCGTTTTTCATTTTCACTCATAGTTTTCAGTTATGATTGTGCTATAAATAGTGTTGGTCCTACTGTTTATTCTTTTCCATTTTGTATGCTGTGCAGTTTTGTGAATCTAAAAAACTAAAGGCTTCTACTAGGCTAAAGTGTTCCCTTTGTTTGTCTTGTGTTGAAGAGGATGTTTATCAATCATGCAAAAAGTGATATCATAAATACATCTTTGCCTGATGGTAAGGAAAAAAGACGTTTTCTCTATGATAAAGGCATTGCAATGTGAAACTACATGCTTCTATCGAACTAATTAATTTGGCTCTGGACGAAATAATAAGTGAATCATATGCTTAATATGGCTAAACTTTTGAAAAAAGTAAGCAGACCAGATGTGATTTGTATTTCGTTGTGTATATCCTATTTATTCAGCAAATACAGGTCAAATTCCACAACTTTGACTCATGGGGTTCTTTTCTTCAAATTTTTAACCAGATGTTCAGCAAATAGAATGTTAAATATGTTGGCAGACATCTTTTTCTTTTGTCTCTGAACTTCATAGGAGGATATCTTGTTCTTTTGCTCGTTCTTTGATTTAATCGTTGTAAACATACATTTATTTTTTAATAAAAATGTTGTTCTTATGCATGCTAGAGCACCTCGTGTTGCAGGGTTTGATGCATTTCTTCTAGGGTTAATTGCAAAAAAACCCTTTTCTTAAGCACAGAAGCAGATAACCCCCCTTAACTTTAAACTTTTGCACTAATCCTCCTTAAACTTGTGACCGAACTACAAAAGTGGATATCCGTCACAGAGCCTGCAAAAATATCGAAATACCCTTATTATTTCAATAAATTTTTATTGAAATTCCCCCTCTTATTCTAAACTCCCTCTCTAGTTGTTTCTCTTCTATCTGGATTTTTCTCTCTCTCCATCCTTTCTCCTTTTGGCCCAACCCTCAGACCCATCCATCTCCCCTATCCAAGTCTCTTTGCTTCCTTTATCTACCTCCAAGAACTCACTTTCTCTTTTTGTCTCTCTTTCTGTCCTCTTTTTTTTCCTTAACCTTTATATTTTTTTCTACTCTCTATGTCCACTTTTCCCATTTTCTCTTTCTGCTCCTTTTTATTGCTTGTATTTTTCTAATTGTTTCCTTCATGAGTCCCCACTAAACTTAAAAGTTGTGTACACAAAACCATGCATAGTCTCATATGCATTTCATTTGGCTGCCACCTCCACCTTGTTAGTTTTATTTTTTCTTTTTTGTTTATATTTTTAGGGAGAAATGGTTGCAATGAGTGGGGATTGTGGGATATGGGTTGTGAGTGATGGGTAAAGGGTGAGGGAGTTTTAGATGGTGAGTTTTTTTGGTAGTGGTGCTCCGTAGAGAGAGAGAGAGGGGGAGATAGAAGAAGAAGATGGAGGTGGTGAGGGCTTTCTCTAGTTGTGCTGTTGAGATTTGCACAGAGAGAAGAAGAAGAAGAAGATAGAAATGATAGGAGCATTCTCGGTGGTGCTGCTAAGAGAGGAGAGAGAGTTAAGAGAAAGAGAGAAGAAAGGGGATTAGATGAGGGTATTTTAGGAATTATGAGTTAAAACCCTTTGGATGCAGGCGTGTGATACACGCGCTGTTAGTTTTTTACTTTAGTCATGAGTTTAGGGTGGCATAGTACAAAAGTTTAAAGTTAAGTGGGGTCAGCCACTTCCACACGGGTTTTTTTTTTTTTTTGGAATTAAGCCTTTATTTTAGTAGGCTCTAGAGTACCATAGTTTTTTCTGAATTTTTTGATAGTTTCTATAAAAAAGGGTTTTATTATAGGATTTAGTTTAGAAATATATTAACTGTAATTTTGATCTTGGAAGTTTGCGCATACATACTTTTTTCATGATTCAACTTCCGTGAGAGTTTTATTTTGTTATGCTCTAGTGACCTTAAGGAGAATTATGTGTGCCTTTGTGCTCTTATATGTTTATTTGACATTTATATTGATGCTTGGAAGAAGAGTCAATCCTTTATTATTCATTTATCCTGTGTTACTTAATATTATGTATGAACCATCAGCCCTCGGTATAGATGATTTGTTTCCTTTAGTTAATAGGACTAATTAGTTTAGCAAAGTAACTTATCCTTTTTCTATGCAGATCGCTTGTGATTATAACTTCCATTCTTATGTTTTGTCTCTCTGTTATAACTTGATCCTTTTCTTATTTGTTTTGTCTAGCTCGCTTGGTGTTAGGTTCAATGATATTGTCTACGTTGAGATTTTTTCGTGTTCAGGTATGTGCTTTTTGTTGGTTGATTTATTTTCTTCACCATTTACCAAATTGGCTTCTTTTACAAGACATAAACTTATATACAATACATTTGCGTGTGACATGTGAAGTATGCATTTACCGGCTAGGTCTTTGCCCACCCCCTGACTCTTATAACTTTGGTTGGCAAGAGCAACGTCGTCCAATGGCCTCTTATATTGCTATTACATACATATATATTTATATATGGTGTATATCTTTATGTTTAGGAGTCATAATCTATACTCTATAGATATCAATAAGACTGAACAGAATTTTACAATGAACAGTGCTACACAACCCAAATTTGGACAAATTTGCATCCCAAATTTGTAACCCAAATTTGCATCCCAAATTGACATCATTTCACATGTTTTCTGGATTGATAAGCCTTTTTCTTTCCCTTGCTATATTATCTGGCACCAACATGCAAAAAAGAGAAGGCTGATTTTCCATACTTTGGCTTGTATATGGCTCATGGAAGTCTTGATACTAATGCAGTAATGCTAATGAGATGTTACGAATTAAAAGGTCTCCAGTCTTTGTTTGCATTATGTAATAGAGCAGAAAGACTCCTACTTCTTTCTTCATTAATTATCCTATTGTGTATGCTTTGGGGAAAACCTTTTTGCTTTGACTGAATTATGTTGGGTTGCTTTGCAAGCTATAAATTCTGAGCTTGAAATGGATATTTTGTGCCACATATTTAGTACGATCAAATGCAATTGGAATCCCTTTCTGGACATAAAATGGTAATTAATTTTAGTGCTGGGGCTGCTGCAATCCTCAGCGCCTTGTCATAAGATGTATATCTGGAGATCACTGTATCTGATTTAGGGCTTTCTAGACTATTGAGGATGGGGTTTGCCTTCAAAGATAGACAGACAGAGAAGGGGTGGGGGGGAAGGGACTAGCAGTTCTTGTGAGCCTTTTGAAAGCCTTGTCTCGGAGAATATATGGGTGTTTGCTTGGGTCTCTTGGGTAAGAACTTGATCTGTTTGAATTTGGTGCCGTGCTTCTTAATTGCACGGTTTTTATGTTTCGTTGTTTACCTGGAGGCTGATGTAAGTGGTCTTCTATATTTAATGAGGTCTCTTTCTTGGTCAAGCATTTGATTACAACGTCATAATCTTTTGGAGAACTTTTCAATCCTCCTTAAGTGATTTGTGTTGGTTCAGGTTGTCTTTGTTACTTTCATCCTTTTATTCTAATTCTTTTTTCTCTTTCTTTTTGGTGGTTTAGTAAAGATTTTAAAACATTCTTCAAAATGCAACCATTCACCACCTTCTGGTGTTCTTTTTATTATTATAATTGCTGAAGAACAGAAATCTTACATCATTCGATCAACACATTTCCTGAAAGCTTATTGCTGTTTTTCAGCGCCCCTAACAATTTTATTGGATAGAGTTACTCATGTGAAGTCATGTTTTATTTGAGCAGATAAGAAAAAAGTTTGGCAATCAAGTTGAAGCTTTCTTTGTAATACTGACTGCATTTCAGTTTCACATGCTGTTCTACTGTACACGTCCTCTTCCTAATATACTGGCACTCGGACTAGGTGATTATTTCTGTCTGTTTAACTTTGTAAATGCTCTTTATTTTTGCTTATTGACTAGAATTACTCGTGAAGTCATGTCTTATTATGGATTGAGTTGTATTACTTGGGCTTGAAAGACTGTGTATCTGTATTGCTTTGAGTCCATCTCTCTCTCTCTTTCTGTAGTTCTTTTAGATGAACATGCAGATTGACAATTCTTTTGTATTTATGTTGATTAACTACTTGACGGCTTGATGCGTAGTACAAATAATGGTTGGATGGTGATTGATAAATTGCATTGGTCAAATAATGGACCATTTTGGCTCCCAATGTTGATTTTTGTGAATCTAACGACAGTGGTGAAGCTACACTGTGAAAACCCTTTTTCTTTTTCTTCTTTTTTATTTTTTATTAATAGATGAAGTTAGAAAAAGTGTAGAGCAAAATAAATGATATGATGTCCATTGGTGAAAACACTAGGGAAATAAAGGATAAAAGGCTTTATTTGGTTTGTTTGGATTAGATAACGAGGTTGTGAGGGGAACACGTGGATGTTTGGCTAAGCTAGCTTTTGATTTTTGAAAGAGGCTTCAATTATTTAGAGCTTCCAGCTTATGCTGCCTTTTACTGGCTTGGCTATGTATTCATTTTATGTAGAGTCATGCAATGAAGTTGGAAACTGGGAGTTAATTCAAATAAATTTCGTTCTGTGTTTTTCATTTGAAATATAAACCGACTATATTAGTTTTGAATCATTCTGAGTGTAAGATTTTTGGGTGCCAATATATTTGCTAAAATATCACCCCTCCTTAATATAGAAATGTCAAATATATATTGACAGGAGATATTCTTACGAATAGCGTTTGAAAGGAAGTGTTAGGATGATTCCTTTTGCTAGTAATGTAGGAACATAGTTGTGGTGCTTGGTGATATGGTATGTCTTCTAATTTATTTTCTCCATCATTAGTTTGTTGAACTAGGAGTGCGTGTCCTGGAATGCCTACAGCTCTGACACTTACATAGGCTTCTTGTTGGAGCCTGCAGGATTCAATTTTTTAATTAAGAAAGTAAAGGTCTGATTTTTCTCTTCTTTTTTCCCCCTGAAGATACAGTGTCCTATTTCAAGGAAGCCTTTGTGTAGGGCTGGAGTGTTTTCTTTTGATTTTGTTTTTTCAAAGATCCTTTAGACCTGAGTATTGCATGCAGCCATATACTAGGATGACATCTTGATCAAGTGTCTCTATTTCTCTCTCTCTCTCACCCACATACCCAGCCACACACAAAAATGCAAACATAGAGAGACATGCTCTCGTGCACACAAGCTTTGAAACAGGGAGGTCGGAGTAATAATAAAATTGACTTTGCTGTATGATCACAAACAACTCTGTGTGGTGTTTTGGTGTCTTTTAAGAAAATCTCTTCATGAAGATGAATACTGGCATACTGCATTAGTGGGAAAAGTGCATGTTTCATATTGACCACCAAAATTGATGTAGTTAGACAAAGTACGGAAAGTAGCTTATGATTTTACTGAAGTTATTTTTCCAGAATCAGATGTTGATGCATGTGGAATGAAAATTCAATTCGCCCACATGTTCACCCAGGCAAGGTTTTGTCAAATTGTATTGATTTGAGTTGCTTGAAATAAGAAAATATCTTGTTTTTGACCTTTTCTTCTCTGTAAATTGGAAGTTTGCTTGTGGTTGACTTTGCTGTGATACGATTTTGATTAAATGGTTTGTTGAATGATTGACGATTACCCAGTTTGGAACTGATATTCGTTGTGTCCTAGACTTCTATGATGTGGTGATTTCAGTCAAATATCAGACTTACATAATATCACCTTAGAGAAAAAGCGAATAAGCAAAAAATACATGTTGAACCGAGGGATTTACTACTGGTGGACATATTTACCCAGGAGATAGAAAGAATTATATCTCATTTCTTACTCTTTCATTTTTCATTTTTTTTTAAGTCGTGCTGTTCTGAGTTCACTGAGGAACAATTTGATCCTGGTACTTCCGGTATACCAGGTGAGATTTGAGATTGTTCTATGACTTGCGCTCCAACATTAAAAATGGTTTCTGCTGCTGCTGCATGGTTAACTGTAGTTTTGTGCATGCCTATTACCACATTCTTTATTGGGAGAACCCTGTTATATAGTATAATGAAAAAAAATCTTAAAAATTTCTGTAAATAACAACAAACTTAAGGGCAATACTCATCAAAGAAATGTACTTATGATGAGGTAATTATGGGAGAGGGATTTACTACTGGTGGACATATTTACCCAGGAGATAGAAAGAATTATATCTCATTTCTTACACTTTTATTTTTCATTTTTTTTTAAGTTGTGCTGTTCTGAGTTCACTGAGGAACAATTTGATCCTGGTACTTCCGGTATACCAGGTGAGATTTGAGATTGTTCTATGACTTGCACTCTAACATTAAAAATGGTTTCTGCTGCTGCTGCATTGTTAACTGTAGTTTTGTGCATGTCTATTACCACATTCTTTATTGGGAGAACCCTGTTGTTATATGGTATAATGAAAAAAAATCTTAAAAATTGCTGTAAATAACAACAAACTTAAGGGCAATACGCATCAAAGAAATGTACTTATGATGGGGTAATTATGGGAGAGGAAGGATTGTGTTTTTACTTTGAAATGTTGGCCTAGATTATAGTACATGTATCATGTATGTAAGAAATTAAACTTAGTTCCTAGAAGAATTACATGATATTGTAGTTAGCTTCTTACCTGAAGGGATACTGCAGCAGTGTTCACAGCACTGCCTAAGATTGGGGTTAAAACTCCAGTTGAGCTAGGTTGTTACTGACTATATCTGACAAGAAATAAATAGAAGTGAGTGGAAAAAATTAGTAATGAATTGGTAATGCTTGTCGTTTCTTTTCAAGATCTCTCATCTGGTTGATGATAAATAGGGTTTTGCCATGCTGGCACATAAAGTGCAATCCTTGTCCCTTCCTCTTTCTCCAGTTAAAGGTTCAATGGATTTTTTCTGTAAAATGAAACGTGTTCCATGGATAAAACTTTGAAGTGGACTTGTGCCAACTGATTGTAAGATTTAATTTAATGGCCCTAGTGTTTTCTTTCTTGCAGTCAATTTGGCATATGGGTATTGGTTCAAGGGGAGTTTTTATGCAGCATTACAATGTCTGGTAAGTTTATTCTGATGAAGTTCATATCATGTGGTTGTTAGAAGCTCCCAAAATCCTTTCTTTGCTGATATTTAGATTCCTGCAAATTGTGTTTCTTTCACTTTTGGATCAAACAATTCATGAAAATTAGAAGATTGACAGACATCATGAACCCACCCCCACTTGTTCAATTGCATATTATGTTTTTCCATAGCCTTTTGACGTTAGCGTGAATATAATCATTTTGTGTGGACTGAGAAAAATCAGAAATATATATATGTCATTTGAGCTTCCTAGATTCATGGACACCTTGTGGTTTTCTTATTGTTTTTGGTTTTTAACTCTGCATGCTAGCATCCCTGGTAATTTTTTTTTTTTTTTGTCGATTACTCCTCTACTCTTCTCAGCTCGGTTTTGTTTGGAATGTTAGGAGCTTGATGATCAAGCTTTCTTTTGATTTTCTTTTCTTGATTGGCCAACATGAATGTGTGTTTTTTTTCTTTACATTTTCTCCTGAATAAATATGTTGTGCGAAAAGCTTAGGAAAGAGGTAATTACTCAAGCCGCACGTGTCAGCTTGGCAACAGATCTTACACAATTTGGGGAAACATTGAGAAGAGCAATCAAGACGTTAAGAAGTTCAAACCAAACCAAAACAAGCCTTGTCCCAATTACGTGGTTTGGGCTATATTATTCTGTCCTTTTTGTTTCATCAAGGGCTATCTGTCCAGTTTAATTACAAGCGACTACATCCTTTGTTTCTATAGTAATCCATGTCAGTTTTGGGCTTCCCCTTATCCCTAGTATTTCCACTAACAGTGGTCATGTGACTTCTCCTCAGTGATGCGTCTATTGGTTTATGTTGTACATGTCACAACCATCTTAATTGGTTTACTCTCGACTTATCTTCAATTGTTGCTACTCCACCCTCTCTTGTTCTATCTTTCCTTGTCTTATCACACATCCATCTTAACATCCTCATTTCGTCTACAATCATGTTGTGAATATATTTAGAAAAAACTTCTTTTACCCTAAAATAGGCAATTGTGTGTGTCAAAATTCACCTTGTGTTGGTTCTGAACTCCCCAAGGGAGGCAAAGGGGAATATATATTCCATAGTAGGTTTTTATTATTGCTCCTTGTCTTTTTTACCAACCACAAATAGGTTAATATAAATTCATTGTTTTTGCCAGGGCCTATCATCACAAAGGGAAAACAAAAATATGCACAACTCTGTGGCAGACACAATTCAAGAGAAGATGATCAATAAACTACACCTGTGTTTTACTGTTAACCTACCGGGTACAGTTAAGTCTGAGCGGTCAAATCATGAATCATGCACTGTATCAAGGTGCGCCACTACCTGCCCAAAAGGCAAGGAGCCAGGAACCCACAAATTGCATTAAGCTGAAAGAAAGCTAGAACTATGAGGTACAGACTAATCAAACCCATCTTAGCTTCCCTTTTCATTTATCAAAAATGTAAATGTTGGAGCCTGCGCTCAACACCAGCACATTCTCTTCTTCTCTTTGAATTTCACCTAATAAAGCTTCTCAAAAAACTTGATTGCATTTTCTAATGCATAGTTGTGTGATCTCCTCCCCTTGGGGAAATGGTGAAGCCAACCTTTCTATACAAAATAGGAATCTTTACTTGGAAAACATTTCCAATGAGCATTCTTCCAAAATCACACTCTGCCCCAATCCTCTTTAAAGCTTCCTACTTGGACAAATGACATAGTCCTTGTCTTTTGGGGTCAAAAACCCACCCCACATTTTTCCTTGGACTTTGAAATGCCTCCCAACTCTGCTTCTGGTGAAATTTTGGTTCATATCACCACACAAGTCTAACTCTTAGTCCTTCTACCTTTTTTCCTATGTGAAATACAAGTAAAAGTTGAGCTTGAGTTCATGCAATGTTTCTGGTTGTAGACTGTCGTCACAGTCCCTTTGAGGCTTCTGTAATATCTGAATAGGAAGACAGTAGAGTGAAACACATTGTCTGACTCCAAACTTATACAACCCAAGTGTGTGCATAGGGCTTTGACACCTGAGGTCCTAATAAGATACTATCGGTGGTCTTTTCTCTGAATTGCTAATCCTTGGGTACCGATCTGCAAAACTCTTAACGCTGCATCTGACACACCTAATTGGTTGGTTCAAGCGACCCTTAAACTTCTTTTTTCCTTTTGACAGTATTTTATGTATTAATACCACTTTTACACGTTTATGGTATTTCAAAGGCTTGGTGATTCAATTGTCCTACCATGTATATCTTGTGGAATGTCCTGCATGTATATCTTGTGGAATGATTCTCCATCATCGACGGAAGCATGTGAGCATGTGAAGAGGATTTCGAGGATTATAACACTAGGACCTAAAGTAAGATGAAATTTAGCTGATTTCCATTCCCTTAGAGAAAATCTTGTATCTCGCTTTTGTGCTGATGCGAAAAAAAATTATTCCTGCTCCCGTCCCTTTCCTGTTTCCTTTTGATTTCCATCCTGCATTTTTTTAATAATAGTAACAGGATATTGCTTCTGTCTATTCTAATATCTTAGACAGTATGATGTTGATTTACCTATTGTGCTATTAGGTATCCGTTAATTATCATCCCTGGTCATTCTCAGGCTATTTATTATTCTCAGTATTTTGTGCATGGATCATGTCAATTTAGCACCTTAGTTTGCTTGTTGAAGTTCTCTCACAGTTCTCTGTTTTCTGGAAGTCAGATTTGTGCTACCATCATCTTTAGATGTGACATGCTGCTACTTCTTTCCCCTTTTGGCCTAGAGCTATTGCTGGTAGGTTGTGTGGCTATTCCTTTATTTTTTATTTATTTATTGTATGTATTATTTGTGCTTTTAATGTACCAAATCAATGACTTCCCTTAATATCTGAATTCTTTTGGGATTAGCAGTGTTTTCAATTTTGAGAAGAGCTTTTAATCGAATCCTTAATGTATGGAAGGGTTAAAAAGTTGTGTATTAAGCAGTTCATTTTTAGCTGAGGCGAACATTCTGCAGTGTTGACTGCTTGGCCTCAGTACTATATTTATATTCTCATAAAACTATGTTTTGCTTTATGGATCCAACCAAATATATGAATGATTCAAGGATAATTGTAGACTAGTTTTCCGGCCTTTCAGATGACTATAAAAGGTTTTTGTGGCTAATGTCTGAAGCGTCAGTTGCAGCAACCCTAGGCTTGTGTGACTTTCTTCCCTTTTTCTGATAAATCTTTTACAATAAAACTGAGTTTCGTCTGAATTGATGGATGCTTTCAGACATTGTACCTAGAACCTCAATCTTTGATAGGTAAAAGAGAAAGAGAAAGGAAAAGAAAGATATACCTGACATGTGAGTGGTAGACTTTACCTAGCAATGCCTTTCTAGTCATTGAGCTAGTTGTTTGGAATGTCATCATGTATTTTTTCAAAGTCCGTACTACGTTCTTATAGTCCTATGGCTAGTGGCACTGTCTGGTGTTGTAACACACCCATGTATTATTACCCATGTGCTTGAGCAATACTATAATAATTATGGGGAGTTGCTTCCCCTGAAATTTATCTGCCCTCCCGTTGTTAATAATTTGATGTAAGTTGCGACTTACTCAAGGCTTGTGCCTTATTTTAATTTCTAACTGTATTCCTCTGTTGACGTCAGACCAAATCAGTTTCGTTTTGGAAAGGATTAAAATGCTGCATTGGAACTGCTTTATTTTGCATAGGTCAGTTATTTTTGTTATTTTTATTAGTCAATTGCTTCATATCTTATATTGCTCTAAACTAGGGTATTATTATATTAGTTCATGATATTAACGTCTGATTTGATCCCGAGTACTGGCGTTCTACTTATTGCAGGTCTTACAATGTTGGTTGATTCAATCATGTGGAGGAAGTTGGTGTGGCCCGAGTTTGAAGTTTTTTGGTTCAACTCAGTTTTGAACCGCAGTTCTGAGTGGGGTGTATCCTCTGTGCAAGTTCTGTTTTTCAGAAAATATGTCATACGAATCTGTGTTTTATACTTAAATTTACACATCTAGTTTCTTTGTCCATGCTATGTTTGTTTGTTAAATCAAAATTCTCGTATGTGATGCATCAGGGTAATGAAATAATTGACTATTGGTTCCATTAGATGAATTGCCTATCTTGCCAGAAATTAAGGCTGTAGTATTTAAAGAAAAGTGACATCAAAATTAATTGATGATTAATATTTATTTTGTGAATCAATTGAGATGAACTATTATCATAGACAAAATCTCACGAACAAAGATATTAATTAATTGGAGGTGTTGGATAAATTGTCCATTGTTCCATTTCCACTAATAATCTACAGTTAAAAAGGGAGCGTGTCCCCAATTTTACCACATCAAGGTCATGGGGGTCATTAAGAGTTCCCCTTAAAACTGCTCATCTTTCCTTGAATGATATAAAATAGTGATATTCATTGTCTTTGATATATATCTGCTTACAACCCTCACCAAAACACCTTGCCATAAGTGTGCTATTTTTCTTATATTATCTTTGTACTTCTTTAATAGTGTTTCTCTAGACACATCCCTTTCATTGGTACTTCACTTCGGCACTTCCCCGGTCATTGCTTGCTGCATATCCTCTCTTTTTGGTGAGTTCAGGAATGCACAAAAGAAAGATATTACAATGATGCTATTCTGTTCTATGTATTTCTTATGGTTGCTTTGTTTGACACATTCTTGTTGCTTAGAATAGTTGCCTACACCCATTCAGGTGGTGGTTTATCCTACCAGCTGATAACATCTTCACGCAATTATTGGACATAATTTCTTTTAGAATAGTTGTACTGGATTTTCCCCCTGGAACTTCTTGGCAGTTAGAAGTAGAACCCACCTATACAGTCTGTAAATTTGCCAAGTAGATGTCTCTGGAATTAGATGTCTCAGGATTGAGTCGATCGACTCTCTTTGGCCTTACCGAACACATGTTGTTTTTGCTGGTGGTTTTGTTCCTATGTAGGAGTAGTTTCAAGTCTTAAATCTCGATGAGTTGGTGGCACCCAAGCATAAGAAAAAAAAGAAAAAAATATGGGGGTTGGGGTTGGGTTGGGTGGGTGTGCAGTTTTACCCTTGCTTTAGTTTTTGATATAAAATAATATCGTTTGCATTCAATGTGGATATGAAATCACTCTTGTAGTTGTTTTTGTTTGCATAAGTCGCTATTTAATGCTTTTGCTTTTATTTTTTTTTTCCTGGTAAAATGTTTCGACTGTTAATGTTTTGATCAGATAATTCTCTGCGTGCTCTTTTGTCTTACTGATGTTATCAATTGTGAATCAGCTTGGTCAAATTTTCGAAGGTTCTTTTAGAATAAGTATTAATTTTTGCTGCTAAGTTATGATCTCTGCATGTTTTAATGCTATAATGAATTTAAGTTCTCAATCTGCATGTTTTAATGCTATAATGATTTAAGTTCTCAATCTGCAATTTAACTTTACTAAGGCTTTTTGACTTTATTAATTGGATGAAAATGTTAATGCTGTGTGTGTGTGTAGATGTTCAAATTTACAGGAGTAAACTCGATCCTAAATGAACAAACATATAACTGATTAAAAATTTAATTAGAAAATGCACAAGGATTTCAACTGAAATCTATTGGAATTTACAGATGAGTTATTTCTCAAAAGTGATTTTTATTTCTTCCTCTGCATTTGTTGTGGCATTATTGATGCAGCTTGGGGTTATACTTGATCGGAGGGTTCTGTTCTACATTCTTCCAGTTTTCTCATTTGTTTTACTTTACTCCAAGCTTCCACACAAGGTATTGCCTTTGGACAAGTTCAGTAGTTTACTTCCACCAACATTTTGGAGACACATTCATTGTCATTGTTATGTATGCTGCAGGAGCTCCGCTTCATTATTAGTTCCATTCCAATTTTTAACTTATCCGCTGCAATTGCAGCTAGCAGAGTGTAAGTGGCCTCTATTTTCTGATATCAATATCTTAATTATTTGTAGGGGATAATATCTATAATTCTACATTAATGACACACCATTTTTATCTGGGAAACAACTGTTAGTAGGACTGGATTAGCCATCGACCCAATATGATATCTGGGTTCGGTGCTCAGTTTTAGTTGCATCTTATCTTGTCTGACTGTGTACAGGATGCAATATTTAAGGGTTGGAATCTCAAAAATATCACTAATATCATACACTACCTGATTGATTTGAGTTTGTTGATGGTATTTCTTAGGTTGAGGGTTCAATTCTTAACTGCTCCATATTGAGACCTGATTTTAATGTATAATAAAGTGGTCCTGTTTTAGCCGCTACCTGGACTGGTTGAGTATTGGGTCTCTGGTGTCCCATCATGTCAAGTTCTTTGGACTAAGAAAAAAAGAAGGAAAGAAGCAGAGAGAGATTAATTTTTATGTTCAAACTATGATATGACTTATCATGTGTTCATCATCTATNTCCCCTTTCATTTTGCACCTCTAACAACTACCTTCATTATTCTCAGAGGATTTATTCGGCAAACACTTTTCATTCTTCTTTATTATTCCATTTTTGGTGCTATGTGATATTGTTTCATTTCTCGTGGTATGTAATTTAGCAATTGGGGGTTGAATTATAATTTCTAAAAAATACCTAATAGTGTTTTAGGGTTAGTATAAAATTTCAAAAATATTTCGTAACCATTAGGCACATTTAATTACCATTTGAGAGTATTTATTAGTTTTTGGGGTCATTGTGTAATTTCAGCAAATATATAATATGTCTATTCTAAAGGGATCTTTATGAAATTTAAGTCTCGACGATTTCTATGCGAGGACCACACGGCATAGTAATATGCATAGTAATTCAGTTAAATGATTCACTAGGTCTCACTACATAGTAATGGGCAAGTAATTGTACTTTCCTCCTCTTATTAATCAATTGCTAATTATACTTTCCTCCCCATTAATTACGTTTTCAACCTTTTAAAACTTAAAGGGCATGTTTGGTTTGAATTTTGAAAACAATTTTTTGATCTCAAATTTTTAAAAAATAAGAGAAACTTGTTAGGTTTGAGTTTTTGTTCTCTAATTTTTAGAAAATGATTGATGTAAAAAACAAAAAATAGAAAACAAACTATGCTTGTTTTCTGTGTTTTGCAGAGAACAACCCTTTTCCATTAATGAGGTTTTTCCTTCAAACCTTCTTAGTAGGAAAACACATCCAACTATAAAAAATAAAATAAAATTATTGCCTTTCTCAAATTTTTTTTGGCTGTCTCTCTTTCTCTCTCTCTCTTGTCTTTCTCTCTCCATACTCTGGCGAAAATCAGACGAAAGAAAACACACACTCCACATCTGGGTTTAGATCTGAGTTAGCTTCGACGTTGGCTCCAACATCGATTCTAGTGTCAGTTCAGATCTGGGTTGATCTCTTTCAACCCAGGGTTTGAATATGTGTTATTGTGTGACTATGTATATCTATACACACACACACCCATCACACACACACACAATATATATATATATATATATACACACACACATAGAGTTACACAATACACAACACACTCATCACACACACAATCTATATATCTATATAATAAAACAGGAGTGTTTGAATTTTATTTCAATCATATTTTTCCCCTTAAAATCATCACAAATTACTTACCTTAATCATTATCACTTTGTCAGACTTAAACGTCAAATCGCATCACTTATTTCTATCACATGTTTAATCATTTATATATTTCTTCCCTAAAANCCGGGGGGGGGGGGGGGTCAGAGTGAAAGCATTACAGCTATCATCGTAGTTATCATATATTCATCATCTGTGTTCCCAAATGGTGTTTTTGGGGGAGGGGAAAAGAGAGAAGGAAGAGAGGATCTAAGAGAAAGCATTACAGCATTGTAATCGATTAGATGTAGGGTTTACAGCATCCAAAGAATAAAATATCTCAGTTTGTTTCATAAGAATATAAACTTCATTAATAATGACTATAGTTAGTACATGATCTGGACGAATAGGGGATTAATGCTCATTTTATATCTTAGTTTGTTTCATAAGAATATAAACTTCATTAATAATGATTATAGTTAGTACATGATCTGGACGAATAGGGGATTACTGCTCATTTTAGTCCATGCATTGTGGCTACTTTTAAGGATGGACTGGTACAAATCAAACTGATATTATTTTGCTCAAAATGATTGTGTTCAAATTTGAACCCAAATTTTGTGGTGGTTAGTCTGACCATTTTACCACTGTACTAGGCTATGGTCCTCTAAATTGTATACATGCAAAAGTACTATAAATGCTCGAAACAAAGAATAAATTTGCACATATGTTCTTCATTCGTAATTCTTTAAACTACGTGATATACAAGAAGTGCCTAAGTTGTAAATGTAGCAACAAAATAGCAGCTGAACTGATGTGTTTTGATGGTCATCAACATGATAACAGGTATCTTAATATTTGTTACTTCAACAAGTATTCCCACAATTTTTGTTTAGAAAACCTTTGGCTTCCCTCTTACTTTTGAGTTTTTCTGATCCACTGGAACATGGTAGAGAAGTTGTGTTGTCTGCTTTAAAGCAACATCTACCTTGAAGGCCTTGATCTACCAGTAATTTGTAACCAGTTCTAGAATCTTGAGATGGGAATGGGCTATGAGATAGAAAATGTAGATAATTGCATTGATGGGCTTAGTTCATCTATGAATGCTTAGGACTATAATTATATTTGTTCTTAATAGCAATATTAGAATGATGGATATCTTATCACACATCACATATATCCAGTAGAGGATGAGAATAGAAAGAGGTCTACAAATTTCCTTTTCTTCATTAGTCTGTTGTGAAAAAAAGAACTAGAACCTATGATTCAGGGAACATGGCTGAACTAGGATTCAGCCATGTGTCAACAGCAGCTGAAACCAAGAAGAGATGCANGTGTGATGGTGTGAGTGTTCTTCGGTATTATTTGTTTTTGTCTTTTTTGAAAATAAAATTATTGGTGTTTGTAAATTTTTTTTATTAAATCTGGTTGGTTTTATTTTAGATGAAGGTCGTTGATGTATTTTTTTTATATTAATTTTATTTTTGATGAAGATTATTGAATATGTTTGGTTTATTTTAAAGTTTGGTTTATTGAATTTTTTTTTTATGAAATTGTCAATCTAAAAATAACTTTCTTATTTTTTTTATTAATTTTTAAATTATTGTTTAAACATATATTTATGTTGTCCAAACAGGTTTTACTATTTTCTATACTGTAAAATTATTTTTGAAATCATCTAATAAAACAAGTTTTTCATCTCAAAAAAATCAAAATACACTTTCTTAAAATTCTTCTCAAAAACTATTTTCGGATATTATTTTTTAAAACGCAAACCAAACAAACTCTAAATATTCCTGTTATCTCTCCATAATTTATTTCAAGTTATCTCTCCATAAATACTTTTGAACTTCCTTTCAAATAACCACTTTCAGCATCCAACAACTCACAGTCATTGCTAGCAGCTAACCACGAGTGAATCAAATAGTCAATACATTTATTTAATTTTGCATATGAATATTAAAATTACATAAAAATATTTGTCTCTTCCATTATATGTATAAATATGTTATAGGATACAGACAATAGAAAACAAATCTTTTCTTCTATGACTTTTGAAATAAACTTGTAATAATAAAAGATATTATTTATTCATATTAATTTGCCATCAAATATACCTATATATAAATCAGCTAGAATATTTTTAGGGTGAAAATAAAATTTTTAAAAGTTGAGGGACCTAGAACCCTCTCAACTTTCTGCAACCTTTCAAATCGATCCTTTCAACGTTTTTGATAGNCGGGGGGGGGGGGGGTGGTTGTTCCTGGGCACATGTTCCTTGACAATCCATTAAAATCATTGACTTCTTGCACATCAATATCCACCTCAAGCTATTTTTACATCTTGTCCTTGATACTCCATCTAATTTTCCTGAATCTGTTCTTAATTCTGTTTTCCTTTCGTCATGTCAAATAATCTAAAGATTGTTTCTTCTTGTTTTTTTTTTGGTCACACCTCCAGCTTTTTGTATCATAAAGTGTGGTCTTATGTCCATCTTGTATTGTAATAATCTCCAACAATACCAAGGCTTTTCCCAAAACTTCTGTTTGTTGTTTGAGATTTTGTCCTTTTTCTGTATTTCGGAACTGTATGACTGTGTGGAAATTCCTTATAAAACTGTTATGCAACACGTCTGCTAGTATGCATGGATGACATTTGACTAAAAGTCATGTGCATGTTGTGATTTTAAATATTGGTTCCTATATGTTCAGCTATCAAAATCATGTTTTTTTGTTCCTTTGGTTTGTCGATAAACTTGTGAGCAGCCTCTTTATTATTGTTTTTGGGAATCTAACAAATTTCTTATGTTATGATTTCAACTATTTATAGCTACAACAATAGGAGGAAGAGTTTCTGGAAATTGCTGAATATTGTTGTTCTGGGATTACTCCTGGTCAGGTTCGATAAGGAGTCATATTTTTCTTATTGACAATGGGGATTACTTCACCTATTCATACTCTTTGTTTTCTTCCAATTTTTGTAGTCTAGGGTGCACCATCATAAGTTTTATGGCGTCCTATCAGAACTATCCTGGTGGTTATGCCCTAAAAGCATTGCATAGGATGGGTACTCTCTCTCTCTCTCTCTGTGCGTGTGTGTGTGTGGCTTGCCCATAATCTGATTGGGCTTAATTCAAACTTTTGTGTATACAAGGCCCATACAGTGTTGGTGGTCATATCCTGTTTTTCTAGTTCTATACTTGTAGGTCAAAATCATCTAATGATTGATCTCTGTACCTTGGTTTTGTGAAAAAACAGATGGTACAGACTAGAGAGTTAGGCTGTTCTTTAATCATTTACGAAACATTGATACTTACATTAAGGGCGATGTATCCGTATCATTGGATCCAAACCATATGTGTTCAGTAATAATAAATATTTGGATACTTCATTGATATGTATCTACGATACATATACTTTGGATAAAAAAGTGCATACGCAAAGAAATATGTATAATTCTTTTCCTATCAAATTCACATTTATGTAATACATAAAGAAAAATTCACGACTTTAAAAATATGTGGATGTTTATTATCTACTATCATATCATAAAAAAAATTGTGTTAAATCATATCTGTTGGCAACAAGAATTTCTAAGCAAACTAACCGGTTAAATCTTGAAACTTATGTCTTTAATAAGTCACGATCACTTTGTGAATGTACCATAATGAGACAATAAATATTTTCTTGAAAGTAAATTACTAAATTTTTGGAAATTATAATTGTTAAGTTGTCCAATAGTCAAAAATATTGTATTATAGACATATATTGGTTGTGTCCTTATCCTAAATTTTTAGGTTTTGTCGTGTCACTGTGTCTGTATCTGGATCGTATTGTACCTTTATTCTGTCTCTGCATTTGTGTTTCCTAGTAGTAATTGTTGATTGAATTCTTCTTGACTTAAACATCTTCCTTTTCAAGCATATTTTATCTTTTTATTTATACATATTGTTAGAGTACTATTACATTGAACAGTCAGCCATTAAAAGGTTAAACATTGCATCTATAACAGAGGAGAAAAACACCCACTAAGGGTGAAGAGAAGCTCGAAAGAGAGATTGTAGAACTTTTGAATTGGGAGACATGAGAAATCAATTCTCGCTGAAGGCAACAATTGACCACTTGACCTTTTGGTTGAGAGAATTTTGAGTAAATCAAGGGTGGCCAACTAGGCCGAACCTAGTTGGTTTAAATGGATTTTATCTCTTTGTGGATGACTTGTGTTACTTAATGCACTTGAAACAGAAACTATTAAAAGTTAAGTTCTTGGCATTATGAGGGCTATTAGGTAGGAGTTCTTATGAGCGTCATGAAGAACCATATCTGTTACAGATTTCATGTGTATGACTTGTAGCAATCTAAGTCAAAGAGACATTTTATTTGAGAACTTACGGATTTGTACAAAAGACACATATTTCATGCAATTTCAAACTACCAATTTCTAAGTGAATATGTACCTTACATGAATGAATTTCAAATCTTGAAATCACTCACGATGCTCAATGAAAATAATGGAAGGGGAATCAAAATGCTTGTGGAGCGGTTGGTTAGATTAAGGCCTCGAAAACAATCTCAGTATTTGCGGGGCCAAGATTTTTCCCTCACGGGCCAAATAGTGTCATAATCAAACTTTTTTATTAACGAGGATCATTCAATGAGCTGTTGTTAATGTCAAAATTTTTTGTTGTATAAGCTATATTAAAATCAAGTTATATATGACACAATGAAGTAATCATCTATTTTTCGATAAAATCGATGAGATTAATTCAAACTTATCAAATTAATTATATGTAACACATTTGTAGGTTAATTCATCAAATAATTAGCAATTGAAGCTCATTTTTTGTCACATAATCGCTTGAGGATAATTGAATTTCATTGTGTTTTTTCAAATTACAAATTGCGAAACACAATCAGGTACAGAGCTACTGGTGTCTCAAATACATATCTTATTGGACTTTGGACCTGATATATGTAGGGTCTATGTAAATTGCACATTATTTCATTATAAGATGACTCCTATTTCAATTAGGGGATTGAACACATTGTACCATTAATCATATTCAAACTTGTGATATTTTTAACAAATCATTAAATTTGGTCGTGTGCAAATTGTTTAATTTTGGACAAAAATAATCCCTGAAGCTACTTTGAATTATTAAGGGTACAACATATACAAACAATAATAGATGGATAAAAGCAAATCAAGACCATAATTGAGGGTTATAAAGTATAATTTAGAGAACATGAGAGGGTCATGTATACTGAAGTAAAAAACATAATTTTAGTGGTATAAATCATAATTTCAAAAACTTGAGAATGGCTAACATAATTTGAAAGGTCTAAATCATAATTTTTGAAACTTGAGAAGGGAAGGTGGGAGGGAAGGGGGGATAACATGACTCCATCACCTGTAAGTTGAATTACAAACACTCACACACATTTTTTAATTGTGTTTTCTAGAGAATTTATCACATAATCACTCGAGGATAATGAAATGAAATCTCACTTGTCTTTGCAAATTATGATTAGTCAAACATGACTCTGTCATTATATTTGACCCTCCCCAAATCCCGTAGTGATATGAGTCTCGTGCACTTAGTCACCTTGTAAGTCAAATTACACACATACACACGTTTTTGAATTGTGTTTTCTAGAGAATTTTATCACACAAATGATAACAAAATCTCACCGGTCTTTGCAAATTACGAATTGCCAATATATATATATCTTATATAGGGCTTTGGACCTAACACATTTAAGGTTTTGGTAAATTACACTTTTTCTCATTAAGCTATGATCCCAATTTCAATTATAGGATCAAACACATTGTACCATTGATCATGCAAACACGTGATATTTTTAACAATCAGTAAATTTGGTTGTGGAAATCGTGAATTTGTGGACGAAAATAATCCATGAAAATATTTTGAATGTTTAAGGGCAACATATTCAAATCAATAAAAGATGGATAAAAGAAAATCAAGGTCATAATTGAAAGTGAAAAAGTATAATTTAGAGAACATAAGAGAGTCATGCATAATGAAATTGAAAAAAAAAAAATTTAGTTGTATAAAGCATAGTTTTGAGAACTTGACAGGGGCTAGCATTATTTTAAAGGTCTAACTCATAATTTTTGAAACTTGAGGGAAGTGTAAGGCATAATTGGTGAAGCATGAGAAGGGGGGTTGGGGGGGCATAACATTGCTCCGTCATTGTATCTAACCCTCCTTAGATCCTGCAATTGTGTGAGTCTTGTGCAATGGCCGCCCACACACATGCATGTATTTGGATTGTGTTTTCCAGAGAAGTTACCATGACTTTCATTGCAGGAGATGTTGCAAACTATTCAAATGAACTGTGGGTTCATATTGACCCCTTCTCAGCAATGAATGGAATTTCGCGCTTTCAAGAAAGTGGTGGACCATGGAGGTATTGTTGATACTGATTCTTAGTTTCACTGAAATACCATGCTGATATTAATTAACCTCACTGAAATCATGTCACTGAATCTTGAGAAGAGTTTAACATTAAATTATGGTAACTTATATGGTGGTTTCATGCACAATAAGCTACTTGTAGGAAACTTGATGAGTTTGGTTGTTTCTGGCCTGATATTTCCCTGGGTTGTTAACTCATTTATGCATTCTCCTTGTCCCTATTTCCATTTGGAAGTTGTAGTTGACAAATGTTTCAAGTGTGTTTATTGTGGGAGGAGGAAGAAGGTTGACATTTGTAAGAATTTGCAAATTATATATCTTGTCACTGATTCCTAGATTGCACCTGGGGGCCACTAGTTGGTTGGTTATATTTGGCCTGACTAATAACCTTATGATTGTGGATTCGGACTTGAGGGTGGCCACTTTGTATAAATAATGGTGAAGCTTAGGCCTGTATCCAATCTACATTCTCTGACCCCCATGATTGGGGACTACACCGGGTGTTTTTTTTTTGTAGCTAGGTTGCAATGAGAGGCCTATAAGTGGCATTTTATTTTAAATCAAATGCATGTACAATGACTCTCAATCAAGATAAAGTCATTTGGCAAGTCCCATCCCACTGCATCACAAAGCTGAAGAGGTCAATTTATGTTTCTTTAGATCAATATTTAATATTATCATCTCGCCAGGATAAATTAATGGGGACTGTTTGCTGAGGCTCTTTCCTGGCTGTAAGTGATGAAATGGAAAGGGGGACACCATCTGAATACAAGGGAGAGATTTTGCCGGTTGAAGTTTGAACCTTGAAGACCTTTCTTTCTCCAGTATTAAATTAAGCATGCATGAGAACTCCAGATGTCTATATTACCCTTGTTTTTGGTCTATTGGTTAACCTTTCTGAAGTTCAAACTTACCATTTTAAGATTTTGTGATAACACTCTACATATTGGTTCTCATTTTCCAATTCTTCTTGTTTATCTAGTCTTATCTTTTAAAGCTACAATGGTTCATTATCGCCACCTCTTGAATGAATTGTTTGATATTAGAGCCTATTACCTATTGACGTCAGAAAGCTGGTGCAAATATCTTCCCAGTGAAATAGGACTATCCATCGTGAGGATCTTTAGTCAAGAAAGCGTATGAGAGCCTCAACCAAAACAAACTGTTGTTTGATGCCTGCTTACGGCAAATAATTTGATCAAGACTCATATTAAACCCCATACTAAAGCTATGTAACTTTGGTGATGGTTTTGCTGTGGGCCAGCAAAACTGGATTGAAAGATTAAACTGGATGTAAATTCTTTCTGTATTTTCTTACTTCTAAAAGTTATGGGGGGTGGAAGGAATTTAATTTATTTTGCCTAATTTCTTTTGGACGGTATTACGCTTTTTATGCTTAATGAAGCCTATACATAGACTGCATTGGTGAAAACCTGGAGTGGCGGTTTGAGATTGAAGAAACTATTTGGAAGAACTTTGAGATTGATCTTTCCTTCCCTCCCTCCCC